AACAAGGTGTCTATATTTTTTAGAAAAAACGAACGGTTCTCGCTGGCTTAGCAGTGCAAGGGTAAAAAATGCACTTTCATAAATTTCAACTGTTGATAAACAGTAGTTAAAATCATCTCCAAACAATGACATTTGGCACAAATGTTCTTCTCGGTAGTTTCTACAAAAAACCGCTATCAAAAAATTTTTTCAATCTTTCTAAAATTAGTGCATACCAGCGTAGGAGCTTTTCATACTGTTCGTGGACTATACTTTTTCTCCACACACTTCTGTGCCTCTTGCTGAAATTATCAATTAACCGGCCGCTCTCAGAATAAGAACCATTTCTGTCTGACAGAGAACGAAGCATTGGCAAATTTGAACCAGTACATCAACAAAAAGTCAACTCGAGGGTAGCTTAAATATATTTTACTCTTATGAACGTAAGACACGTAGACATGTAATTTTTCAAAATTCTATTCTCCTCAGTACCTTCCAATTCACATTCAACGAACAATATTAAATGGACGTTATCAGATCTTACTCATTTTATTTTTTTATTATTTCCATAACATTCATTTAACACCAATGCAAAAAATGAAAAATGAAATCTTGAATACTACGCTCAAAAAAATTAATAGTAATAGATAACCAATTAAACTATAACACTTTTCAAGAAATGGTTTTATCAGGAAAAAGACAAAGAGTGTAGCCCCTTTATAGATCAGCCCCTCAAATGTCATTATTCTTGCTTTATATATCTTCCCATTCTCGGGATGTGAGCAATTGTTCAGTAAATAATGTTTCTTTTATGATTTCGAAGATTAAAATTTAAATTTTAGGTAAAAGTCATTTTCATCTTTGGTGTGCAAAAGAGAAGTGGAAACGAATTGATGTAGTCGTATAGATACTATAAAAACATAATTGTTGAATTAAAAAATAATTAAATGTATAGTTCTTCGCCCTACTCTAAGAGGCATTATGACGTGAAGCTAAGCAAAATTGCACGAAAAAAAGTCATTCACTCTAGCACCGACTAGGTGCGTCTCCAGGTGGCAGATAAGAGCATTAGCACTAGGAGACTGTGTCACAAACGATGTTCTTGGGGCACCAGGCGACTCCTTATTGTATCTAGTCTTACCTGTGCAAGAGGCTCTGCACGGGTGGACCTTCATTTCCTCAATACTCGTAGGACTCGAATGGATGAATTTGATGACGTTCAAAGGAGTGGCGGTCTTGCTTCTTTTAACGAAGGGACAGGGCTTAGTGAAGTCGAGAAAGGATTGACTGGCAAGGAGAATCAGGGGAAGAAAACCTAATTCACCTATACCCTAAAAATAGCAAGAACTTTGCGGGGCAAAGAAGAAAAGGAGAAAAAGAGCAAAGCTGTTGGACCTGGAGAAATCTAGAACTGACACAGCCGGAACGAAGGCTGAGCCAACGCCGAGATAACCAGGGTCTCCTGCAGTAACCAGCGGAATCTCCAGAGGTGAAGCAACATTAAGCGGAACTGAGACGACCCCTAGGGTTGATACCAGGGCCAGGAGCTCCAATAAGTTGGGATCCTTTTCCAGCGACGCGGGTAACGCCAAAAGGCAAAGGTCAGAGGATTGCACTTTCCTCTGCTCTTTTCCGACGCTAAATTTCGAGTGGAGAAGCCTCGTACACCACCTGGATCTAGCAGCTTTGCTAATACGGCTGCAGGGGGAAAGAGAGTGGCCATTGCGCTGGACCTCTACCCTTCTGTGACCCTCAGCAAGCAGCAAAGGGTGTTGGTGCTGGCGGGAATCCTTCGGACCCTAGACAACACCATCAAAAATGGTAACGTTTGGGGATTTGAGGGCTAAAATCTCGACAGAGGGTTTGAGTAGATCAACTGTCCTCATGAACCGGCAGCCACTTGGCTTAAGGATACGGTATCCTCTATTAGGGTCTTGGAAGGAATAAACAATGAGGTTCTCGAGAAGGAGAAAGTTCCAAGACTCTCTAGTGTCACCGCGACGTTTCCCGGGCTGTCGGTAGAACCGGCGGTGATCTTGAGAAAGCTCGAAGGTTTGAACACTGGACTGCTCACAAACTTTCGGAGGATTTGGAACGCGAAGGCGGCACCAGCGCTAACTAGCTTGGTACTTGGTGCAGATGATGAGTCACTGAACGTTGATAGCGAGGTCTTGGACAGTTGGAAATGAATCCCTACTGTCACCTAGGCTGTGCTCGTTTCTACGAGTCGCTAACAGCATGCGGAAAGGAGGTAGACGACTTCTGTAAAGAGACAGTTACCGGTGGCAGGGACCTCCAAAGTGTTACCTCCTTCAGAAAAAAAAGGAGGTGGGTGAAGACGTACGCAACCTCTTCCTCGAAAGAGATGGGTGCGCAAGGAGGGCTCACCAACCCCCCACTTTCAAAAGAGTCACCGTGGGGACCTGAAAAGGCGTACTTCCGTGAGGAAAAACCTCAGAGCCGTGGGTAGGCTACGCCACCTCCGAGAGTTTAGTAGCGACCCACGAAGAATCGAGAGCTGGCCAAGGTGAAGAGGGTTTTGTCTCGAGTTAAGCTGACCGATATGGTGAGGTCTCAGGTGCAGAGCCGATGAGTAAACCTTCCGCGGGAAATTGCGCACGAGAGGACATCGATTTTGCTGGTGTATCTGCGTAAGGTTGACATCATCCCTATGCTTCCTACATCCCACATCCCATCCTCAGCACGGGAAATCAAACGGCGCCGAAATCTTTGTGATATCAGGACAATTAAAGATTTTGCAGATCAACTGGCATCACTGCTACGCAGCTGCGGCGTTACGGAAATTCGGGCACAGCCGAAGTTTATCCAGTTCTGTTGCAAATTGACGGCAAGTAATTATGACGCTGACTACTACAAATCCACTTATCTTACCTTGCCATGGGTTACATACTGATAGCGTGTCACACGGTCAGATTAGCGCTTTTATCTAACGTAGGAAAATACCGCTACGATGAAGCAAAGGCTTATGGGTCCACAAGTCTTATCTATTTTGTCCTTAGGATATTGGAGCGGCTAGTGGACTGTTACCGCAAGAATAGCGCACTGTGCATCAAGTCCCTGTGTACTAGCGCAACACCCCTACCAAGGTGGCAAGGCTATGGAGACTGTCCTCCATGACCCCCTTAGGAGGATTGGAATAAGCCCTGGAGACAGGGGGGTGGCAGTTCGGAACTTTGGAGCAGATTTTACGCTTGCACAATGGATCAAGAGCTTGCTCGCCACGAGAATGGTCATCGCCTATTTAGGGGGTCCGGAAGTTCGAGCTGCAATAGCCGAATGCTGCCTACAGGAAGGTGTCACATCTCTCTTGCTGTGGACCCTGGTAGTCGACGAACTCTTTACGAACCTGAAAAAGACTATCTTCAGAGTGCATGTCACGATGATGACGTAGTCATCACAGTCACAGACGACGAACTGGGACGTCTGTCCCGCAGGATGCATACGGACCCTAACGTCGTTGAGAGGTGGTACCAAACTCAGGGGCTTAGAATCAATCCTAAGAAGAGAACTGAATTTAGACCTTGTCCTATCTTTGGTGAACAGCTAAGTTGTTTAGAAACTGCATGAGAATTGAAGCCTAAAATAATAAAATGGCTGTACACGACCGTTGTCATTTACTAACTAATATACGCCTTCAAAGTATGGTGGACCTCCGTTTGGAGGGACGTCTGCAGGAGGCAATTGAGGGCTAAGGAAATGAAAGCAGCGCCTGCTAAGAAATCTGGGAACCAATAGACTCATTTTAGCAGATGTTGGGGCGGCTGAACTTCTGCAATTTCGCTATGAAGCTGGGCTGAACTGGCCCATAAATGCTTGATGACCGCCTTCACTGTAGACATGGATCTAGCATAATGGTCCCGAAGTTCAGTGCAGGTAAGGTGAGATGAACAGTTAACAAAAAAAAAACTAACACTGAAATGTGAGGAGGGATGAGGATTTATCACCCAGTAAATAACTTACTCAAATGTAGATGATTAAGTTAATTTATTTATTTTCACACTATTCAGTCTTTCGGTTTCAGTATCACACGTGTTTCGTCCTTAAAAATTCACATTTGAGATAGTTGATTACTTGCCACGTGCGTTTTAGCGGCACTTGGGATAATCACTGTCCGTGTGAGATTATCGTACGAGAGGATAGATTAGATCATTCAATTAAACAATGTAACGGTCTATAAACCTTAATGAACGGAAAAACGGTTATCAACTTGTAAACTTTCGTTTTTCTCTACTCAAAATTTTCGAAGCAATAAAGCGTACTCTTTTTTGTAGATATTAGAAGCAACTGATGAGAGTCAAAAAATAAGGTTGGGCGATCACTTTCAAATTTTGATTGGTCATTTAATTTGTTCCGATTGGCTCGAACTTCACTAGTTCATGAGGTCTAAAATAATAATTGGTTCGTCAAGTTGCTAGATAGTAATTTGGATGTTAATTGGTGGAGAAAGACTTTGAAGGATAGCAAGGGCGCGCCCCCAGAATTTCTACGGCACTATCTGAACAATGGTGCGTAGTGCTGTGCCAAACAAAACCTACTCGAGGCCTTACCTAACCGGAGACGTTAGGAATCCTGTCAGACTGTTCACTAAACATGTACTATCCACCAATTAAATTTTCTGAAGGACATAAGAGCATTTATATCATCTTAGAAAAAATGAAAAAAATTACGTCTTGAGCGAAAATTGAAAACTTTGCTCTTAATAAGCTTTGTTTATTTACGCAGTATGTTAATGACATTTACTACAGTAATAAAAATAAATTTAGAATACGAAAAGTTTGCATAAGTGCTTTTTTCATGGATATATACAATGATTTGTGGCAAACATTTACACTTTTATGAAAAATTAATGCAGCGTAAAATTATTTGGTAACCAGACTAAGAGTTACATAAACTTTTTTTTTTGACTATAAAAAATGATTAATTCTTTCAATCCTAAAGTAATGAATAATGATTTGAACAAAGCTACTTAAACATAATTAAAAACTTATTCAATTACTTACCTAGATGAACTACCGAGACTACTGATGCTCGCACCATCTGTAGTTCGTCTCTGCTCTCTTGGTCCATCACAATCAGTAATATCATACTCGGATGTGTCTGAATCACTGAATCGAGACGTTGTGGATGGTGGACTTAGGTGGTAGTCAATCGGAGTAATTGCGATATCATCATACGGTTCGTGATATTGCCTATACAATTGCAATAAATCAGTACCAATTAAAAAACACTGCGCTTGATCGATTTATTAAACGGAGTGTAAAAAAAAAGTTATATACCGAATTGTTCGACGTTCCTCATGTGCAACTAAATTCAACCACTGCCATTGTGACTTTTCTATTACATTAGAAAGATCCAATATCGCTTCTCCAAGAAAGTCATTAGCCTCGTGAATAACAAAATCCCACACTGATATTTCTAACAATCGACGTTTAAGATCAGATTTTCGTAGGCTGTAATCGAATGTTTCATTCCACTTTGGTTCATTTGTATTTGCTAAAGTTTTCGTACGTCTCTTTGAAATTTCACTGAAAAAATAATAAGTTTCTGTAGTAAACATTTTTTGAACTGACTGCACTCGCCTTAATTAATACCTGATTTGTACCCAATAAGCAATTACCGATCGCGGGTATGATTTTTTTTACATTGAGTTGACAATCTATAATTTTTTTTAACTTGGACTAAACTGAAAAACCATAGAATTTAAGATGACATTGCTTGTATTCAGGACAACTCAATACAACTCAACGTTTAACATTTGATGAGTCAACACATTTAGTCCAAACACAACACACAATGAGGTGACTGATGATTCCATAACTACACAGAGGAAAATAATAAGGCTCGTAATGCTTTCTTGAGCGAGTAAAAATGATAATGTTGATTAATCAAAAGAACGACAACGGGTATAGGCGAGATAGCTGTATTTCTGGTGGTCAGGAAGAAAAAGAATTCAAAAATTAAAAAACAACAAACCTACTGGAGTAAAATCAAACTATTTTTTTATATTTGTAAATAATGCTGTTGTTAATATTACTGCTCATTTTCAATATTTTGGAAACAAAATAAAGTTGTCGGAGTAGTCATAAAGCTGTCAGTAATCTTTTTTTGATTATATCAAACAAATTCTACTGTAAAATTGAAAATTTAACGCTTATAGACATTAAATACGCGAGAATTGTTTCCATTATTTAATCAATATTCAAGGATTTTTTAATCAATATTTAACCCTGAAATGCATCAGAACACATAAAAATGATTTCAATTAATTAACTAGGGTTTTACTGTTTTTATTCAGTTAAATACGAGAGTAATTTTCCTTCTTTCTAATCTGTTCTTAACTAGTTAAAATCTTTGAATTTCAAGTCGATTTTATAACCGGAATTTAGATTTTCCTACCTATTACTTCAAGAATTTATTTAATTATTTCATAATTACTCATAATGTTTCGGAATCAAGATGGCCGTGCAAACATGACAATAGAAATTTATAATTCATGGCAGACTTTTCGACCGTTCTCATAATAAAAAAAATTATTTTCTATACCAAAGCATTATGTTTGGAATGATATCACGAATTTGATAGTTTTTTGAGTTCAGCCCAAGCTTAGAAAATTCTAGACTAGAAACTCAGTGTAAAAAAAATCATACCTGCGGTCGGTAATTGTTCTCCAAGGATACACTAGGCATTGATGAAGCTAAGTGTATGTATATGCCGTTTTTCTAAAGTAGATTAAGTGACGTAAGATTTTCGTCAGAAATGTATAGCAATCTGTTGCAAAACGAAAATACACGTATGTAAGTCAGGACTGGCTACTAAAGAGTATATTAATAAAAAAACAGTAAAAATTCAAATTCTAATGTAAGATTCAATTCATACTCATTAAGAACACATACAATCGTTATGAACGTTTGTTTGATTACATTCATTCTACATGATAAGTAACGTCTTATGAATAAAAGAGAAAATGTCCCTATTACTCAGACAATTCTTCTTAGTGAATTATATGAACAATTAATGGACAACTCACAAACAATCAGTGATTAATTATATACAGTCATTGGTAAAGTGTTTTTGTTAATAAAAACCCCAGAAAACCATATTTTGTTGTGTCAGTGCAATTTTATTTTCTAAACCTTCTCGCATCTGACCTTTTTAGTCCACCTAGAATCTTCTATCATTCATTTTTTAATCAGCCGACACAAAGTCTAAACATTTGGTCCTTCGAGCCAGATCTGAATGGGCTTAGATGCATCTCGAACAATTCGAGAAGGTTCTAGAATTATATTCGTGAGTGAAAATTTTCATGAAATTTTCTAGATAGCTTTAATTTTGTGTTATTGAAAATTTCAAACTCAGTTAACTCTTTGTGTTTTTGTGTAAACAACCTCATAGACCGAAGGTGTCGTTGGCTAATGATGATATTAGATATTAAATTAGGAGGTTTATCGGTGCTATCTAATGATGTTTTTTTATTTTATCTTCTGATATTTTTGCCTTGATAACTACAGCATTGTTAGGGTGTTTATGAATAGGAACAATTCCAACGACGTTGTTTTCATAAAAAAAGCAAAAAAAATACAATTTAATTAGTAACAATTCATTTCTTAAATTAAATTACACTCTATAAAACACTATAAAAACTCACCACACTCTCTCTTATTTGTTCTCTCATAAACTTTCTCTGTCTCATACATTTGTGTATCCTATCATTATTCTTTCATCTTTATTCTCTTCCTCTCACACATATTTTTGCATTAGAGAGAGAATAATAGTAAAGATAAGAGAATGAATAATAGGATACAGAAGAGAATGTATGAGGAAGGATATAAGAGAATAGATGAGAGAACGAATGAGAGAGAGCATGATAAAATGCATCAGAAAGAGTATGAGATGCGAAATGAAAGTATTAAAGAATACCCTGATCTACTCTTTTTCAAATCAGCTTTAATAATTTTGAGAATAAACTGTCTTCCCACCTTTGGATTTTGACAACAGCTGTGTTCATTTTTATTCAATCGAGTGTATTTCTTTAGATAAATAAATGATTGGAAGAAGATCATTTTTATCATTTGTAACGCACTTGGCTTTTTCTCGCTGGTGACTTACACCTGATTGGCTTAATGTTACGTTTTTTAACTTGATATATCTTCCGAAGTATTTATTTGGCAAACTTTTTGCAAAAGAACTTTTGTTCCCATTTTCACTTTAGATTACGATGATATCAAAATTGACAACGATTTTTTGCACAGCCTGTATTTCTTTCCCAAAAACCCCCTCTAGATGTTCGCACAATTCGATCGCAATCGGATTAGCTGTTTCGGCGGTTATCCCGAACAGACAGATACCCGAAATTCATCTATCTTTACCAATATATAAATATTTGGTGTCTGTCCATTTCAGGTAATTTCCGAAACAGCTTATCTGATTGCGACCAAACTTTGCAAACATATGAAGAATATTGCAGACAGGGTAATAGGCTACTTTTCGATAATGCGAATTGTTTATAACAATTAAATTAGTTATAAACAATTGGAAATGGTGTAATTTTTTCTTTTGCTATGAAAGAGTTACTAACCTTATAATAGATGCGAGAACATACTTTTCTCGTTTATAACAACCAAATTTGTTTTGAACAAATGAGGATAATCAGTTGAAAAATAACTGAAGTATCCAAGATTACAAAATTAAAGCAGTTTGCGAGATTTTGGTCGGCGATATGTAAATCAAATAAGAGAGTCAGACATATGAAATTAAAAGAGATAGGAGATTATTGTAGTGACAAACACACAAAAAAAAAGAAAGAGATAGCATGATGAAAAAAAAGATACCTTGAGTGAGCGAAACACGCCAAAATTGGCTGAAAATAGAGAATCTCCGAATTTTTATGTTCCTATGGTCCTATCTGAATGAAATTTCAGATGAAGGTAGAATGTATGTTCTGTAGACGACATACATAAAAAAAAATGATAAATAAATATAAAATATTAAGAATAATTGTTCATCAGCTATTTAGATCAAGAAGAACAAGATGAATATTCATTAAAAGTTGGTGCAGCTGATGGTGCTTGGGTTGCTAAAACGACTTTAACGATAACAATTTAAGATTGAAATGCTAATACACCTGAGTTTACTCTAAATTTGTATTATTTCAATTTTCCTGAATCACAAAGACAGATAGCTCTAATTGGTTAAGTATCTGCTAACGATCATGATGAGCAAGGATCTAATTCCGTCTTTTTTTATAGTTTTTCTCATCTACTTGATCTTTTTTTAATTAATCCAGCAACTGGTGATATATTCAGTGAAAAAACTCTTTATTGTAAACATACACATCATCCATCACCATCGGGCCATATTTATTCTTTAACCAGCTCTAGAGAGTTGTGAACTAGGTGAAAAAATATTCTAATTGACAGCTTTGGACAATGTTTATGTTGATGTTAATGCAGAAATCGAATACATTCTGCATGGAACAGGTTAAATTTATGTAGGAAGAACCATTAAAAATATTCCTACCTGAAAAAACATGTTATTATTCAATATTGACTTATTGGTGGTAGTGATGAAAATGATTTTTAAATTGAACAGAATATAGGAAAAAAGATCTAATCCTGAAGAAACTAATCAATACATTTAAATTATCTAGTGGTTTGATTTACTAGAGTTTTAATTTATATGACAGGAATTAATGAATATTATCAGAAATTATTACAGCCTGTATTTCATATGGATGTGTCAGAAAGAGGTAAAATAAGAACTTCAATTGGTTTAGTGCAAGCCACTGGTCGAGATTCTGTTGTTAACAATAGAATTATTTGCCTAACCCTAGATTAGTCATCTTATAAAGGAAATGCTTGTTCGAACCTTTATTCCTGTATGATTACTAAATAACTCATAAGAATAATGCTCAAAAATTGGACATTACTCTTCAATATTTAAAGAGAGTTTTGACAATTTTTTTTTTTGTTTCTAAAGCATTAAAGAAAGTGATAAAAAAAAAATAAGCCAATAAAACCCACAATCTCGGCGTATTCCTCAAGAGATGATCAACGATACCTATGACTTTTTCCGTGTGATGTTGCTCAATTCACTTAAGTTCTCCACTCCCTACAGTGTTCGCCGGTGACAGGCGCAATTAAAATTCAAAATTAGGTAATTCCGCAACCAAGGAACTATTGCGGCGAATTACTCATTAGGTGGCCAATATCGTGAGGTTATGCATGATGACCAATCTAATTTTTATAAATAAATGTTATTATAAATGAATATTTTTTGAAAATCTTTATTGAAAAAATCTCGATTTTATTTTTTATAATTTAAATAAACATTCCAGTGGAAGCGGTAGTGTTTATGAGTTCCATTTGCACCGGTTTATTAGTACTTCCTCTCTTGTCTTCCTCTTTTTTTCCTGTGCCAAGTACGTATTGCGATAATAAAAAAGAATTTGTAATTTTTCTATTATTAATGTCTCTACACCGACAAAGAAAATATAACTCATTACTGTGCTACGTAATCATCTCTCAAA